CAGTGGTTGTTGTTGTTGTTTGCGATCCGGCCTCTGGTTCATGACAGCTACTTACTACTTGAACTACTATTCCTACTGCTCGTTATCGCGGGGCTTCAGGGTACGGATCCTCTGTGATAAACGAGGGACTACTATACATCAAATGATTATTTTCTGAGAGTGTAATTAAAATTGGTCCTGTGCTTCTTGAGATTGTTTGACAACAGGCAGACAAGGAGAAAATCTTGCTCATCCATCTTAACTATTAGACAGTGATCAAAAGCTGTGTGTGTGTATGGGGGGAGATGATTTATTACAGAGGTGAGCAACATTTATCTTCCCCAAAGGCCCACATCATGACATTTAAAGCAATCAAAGGGCCGCATAGAGATTTGGAAAATTATTTTTTCTTTATGAAAAATAATCTAGAAGACATTTTTCAAGCTTGTTCTTGTTGTAGCATAGTTAGCATGTTTTATAAAAACATCCATCCATTTTCTTCCGCTTATCCGGGGTCGGGTCGCGGGGGTAGCAGCTTAAATAGGGAGGCCCAGATTTTCCTCTCCCAGCCACTTGGGCCAACTCCTCCAGGGGAATCCTGAGGCGTTCCCAGGCCAGCCGAGAAACAGTCCCTCCAGCGTGTCCTGGGTCTCCTCCCGGTGGGATGTGTCCGGAAAAACTCACCAGGGAGGCGTCCAGGAGGCATCCTAACCAGATGTCAGAGCCACCTCAACTGGCTCCTTTCGACGTGGAGAAGCAGCGGCTCAATGAGTCCCTCCTGGATGACCGAGCTTCCCACCCTTTATAAAAACATGTATTTCCAATATCCTTTAGGAATATAAGAAGTATTCTGTAAACTGGCTCTTGCGACATTATATTATACACGTTAGCTAAACATATTATACATGTTAGCATAAATATGCTAAACAAAAATATATTTGTTTCTCAGTCTTTAAGATTCAGTCCAAGTCTCATTGATAAATTGCGTTTTTAAATATATAAATGTTTATATATATATATATATATATATATATATATATATATATATATATAT